CTTTGCAGGACACATGTGCATGTAGAGATAGCAGATATTTGCTTGCATTGTGTCCCTCCCACTGAGCATGCATGAAGCAGCAGTGGAGAGAAAAAACTCCCTTTGAACAGGAAGAAACCTCCAGCAGAACCAGGCTCAGTGTGAGCGGCCATCTGCTGAGGCCCACTGGGGCCGACCTAGAAGATGTCATACAAGAGGAACATAGAAGCACGATTTATAGATATATAACTTATTTATACAACATCAGTGCCTGAAGGTTATAAAGAATAATATAAAATAATTTTTTTTTTTTTGCAGAGTTACATATTCAAATACATCTTTAGAGTTTATAACTTTGATATTTATATACTGATTAAACTAGGGCTGCAACAACGAATCGATAAAATCGACTTTTAAAAGCGTTGGCAACGAATTTCATCATCGATTAGTTGTGTCGCGCGATTAATGCGTCATCCGCCGCCGTCGTCATCACATCCACTTGACTGAAACGGGCGGAAGAAAAAAAATACGGCAGAGCGAGCCAGCGCTGCAGGCGCAGTGTTGCCAACTCAGCGACTTTGTCGCTATATTTAGCGACTTTTCAGACCCCTCCAGCGACTATTTGTTTAAAAAAGCGACTAGCGACGAATCTGGCGACTTTTTACGGTGTCACTGGCGGCTTTTGGAGACTCTTACGTGAAAGCATGTATCGTTCCTAATCTTGTCCTCCAGCGGCAGCTGCTGCCGTGGGGCGCCTCCCCCATCCCAACCCCGTTCTCCCGCAGGAGTCCCTCTCAGCGCTGCAGTCAGAGCCGCAGGACGTTTACCCTCAGCGTCCAGACTGCAAATGAAGCGCGCATGCGCCGGGATTGACGGCGCATATTGATCACAATAATTAAAATAGCCTGCGCTTTGTAAAGCGAAAAAAGTCGTAACATGAAACTTTTGTAAAAACAAATGAACATGGCACGGAACCACCATGTTTGTTTGGTTTTAAAGTGGGGAAACGTAACGTTAGTTTCTCAGGTAGCTCATCTGATGCTTTCCTTACCGTGTTAGTAGGTTACAGACAGGGATAAGGTTGGCTACTTATTTTACTTTTAATTTCATTTGAATTAGCTTAAGCAGCGTTTATATTTTCTTTATAAATAAATTAACTTCAAATTATGAGGGCAAGACTTTTAAATTTTAAATCTTCTGGCAAAGATAAAGTAAAGAAGATCCTGCAATTTATGGAAGTAAAGCAGAATAAAATCCAGCAAGATCAGTAATATGTCAATTAATTATCTGCCACATTCCCATGTAAATATCTGTCTTTGGAGGATGTGTTTTTTAGCACCCCTAGTTCTCTCATTTTTATTCCAAATACAATTTATAATTTGAATCACAGGCTATTTTTATCTCTATGGTTCAGTATTTTCTCAAGTAGCAACTTTAACTGCTATACTTTCCTGTCTTAAAAGGCAGAACTCTTCTAGTCTAAAAAAACTCAGTTGTTGAAATGGGGGGGCCTATTGTTTGAACCCCTTAGGGGCTTTAAAAACAAAAATGTCTTTTTTTGCGCTTTATGAAACAAAGTATCCTATATTTTGTGGATGTACAGCTACATTTCTCATGTAAGTTTGCGTAGTTTTAACACAAACATTTATTTTTCATATTGCACCAGTACAGTTAATGAGCAACCTGTACTTGTGTGCTTGTTTGTTCTGTCTAAAATGTTTATTTTGGAATAAAGAGGTTAATATAAAAAATATTTTTTGTCTGATTCATTGATTTTTAAAATAATCGTTAGTTGCAGCCCTAGATCAAACATAATTATGTGATCTTTTATAGAAACATTCACACCAAGTTAAATCTTCAAGGGATTACATTTTATTTAGAGTTTCAGAGCATTTCATCCAGACCAAACTCTGGATAAGCAGCTCATTAAATCGTTGCAGTATTTATCTTCTATATATAATAACTTCTTTATTTTTTCTCCATCACCCGCATTTATCTGGATGCACTGAATAAACTTCATGCACCTTTTCTTCCTTTGTGTACCTTCTGTTGTTTATAAGAGCCGATGTCACAAGCGATCATTTATAAATTGTCAACTTTTATGAGTCTTTTAAAAGAATCAGAATCAGGAATCAATAGAGTCGTATTCGAACACGGAATCGGAATATTCAGAAGCCTAGTCTGAAAAGTAGACCAATCCCAATACGCAACCAGTTTCAACCATTATCTCTTGCTCCCATCCATCACCCACAACCCACACATACTGGAAACTACAATAGATAGGGCTTCGTAATCTTCTCAGGGAACTGGGACACCCCTTGCTGCAGAGTTGATGTTCCGGTACGTAAATGACTGCCATAGAGGAGACAAAGCTTAAAAAAACAAACAAACAACAAAACTATGGAACCCCGAATGATTCATAATGAAATAAATAAAAAAACTTTATGAAATAAATACCATTTTGATAAATAACACACAAATATATAATATATAATAAGGTAATGTTATTATGAAACACATATAGCTATTCTTTAGTATTTACTTCTTGTTATTTTATCATAATTGAATATTTCATAATAATTTTTTTCATAATATCATACTTTAAAAAAAAAATAATTTTATTTAATTTTCAAATAAAAAAGTTTTTCCCAAAGTCATTTTTTATTTCATAATGTCATTTTTCAGCAGAATTACTTCGTCTGTCAATCAAAGCTAAGGGGTTGGACCTCGCTGGGTCCTTTAAGATCGATTAGATCCGTGGCGTCTGGTTAGCCGCGTTAGCACGAGCAGTTTGTAACGCTGATGCTGCACTGTTAGGTGAACGTCCAGGCGCCACCTGGTCAGAAACACGGTGCTGCAGCGCTCCTCTCTCAGGCTGAGGTGCAGGATTCGCGTTACTATCCAATCTATTCGCAACGTCTCTGAGCAATTCTGCAACTGACTTCTCTCCAGCTGCCATCTCATCGCTAACGAGTCGCTCACTCCTGGCCTCCAGTTGGTGATAAGCAGAGATGGGAAGTAACGAAGTACAAATACTTCGTTACTGTACTCAAGTAGATTTTTCTGATATTTTTACTTTACTTTACTACTTATTTTTATGACGACTTTTTACTTCTACTCCTTACATTTTTACACAGATATCTGTGCTTTCTACTCCTTACATTTTAAAAAATTGGCTCGTTACTTTAGTTTTGAATCATTTCAATGGAGTTACCGTTATTATTTTTCACGTCATCAATACCAAATTCAATCTAATTGGATGGGAATCTACGTTGCATTTGACGCACCGCTACAAGGTGAATCGACAGATTCGGCGGTATCCATTGGCGGCGAATCATTGCAGCTTGGTGGCGGTGGCGTTAGCATAGTAGCATGGACGACGAGATGATTGAAAATGGACACAACGGAGATCTAGTCCTATTGGCAGACATCCATTTAAAATGTAGGCAACGGCATGAAAAAAGTGGTTTCTACTTTTACTTTTATACTTTAAGTAAATTTACAAGCCTGTACTTTGTTACTTTTACTTGAGTAAAGAAGTTTAATCAGTACTTCCACTTTTACCAGAGTATTTTTTAACACAAGTATCTGTACTTTTATTCAAGTATGGAAAGTGAGTACTTTTGCCATCTCTGGTGATAAGTCTCCGCGCTTGAATCGGTACTTAGTAAAGGAGCAGCCAATCACCTAACTGGCTCCGCCTTGCCTGCTTTGATTGACAGACGAGGTCATTCTGCTGGAAAACAACATTATGAAATAAAAAAGGCCATTGTGCAGAATGTCATTATGGAATAAAGACAAACTTTGGAAAAAAGTTCTTTATTTTCCAAAATCTTGGAAAATGAAATAAAAAGTAATTATTTAAAAAAGCATATTGTATAAATATTGATAGTTTGATATTGTGAAAATAATTATCATGAAATATTCAATTATGATAAATATAATAATAAGTTGATATTAAAGAATAAAAATATATATTTTATAAAAACATTACCTTGTTTTTATTTCATGACCATATTATATATTTGTTTGTTATTTATCAAAATTATATTTATTTCATACTTTTTTATTTATTTATTTAATTATGAATCTATTGGGCTTCCATACAAAACCACTATTGAACCTTAAATTGTAAAAAGCTTATTAAGTTGAGCTGGGTTAGTTATCCTTTTCATTTATCAGGTATGATTCTTCTTTAAACCCTGTTGAAAATTTTACTGCCTAATAAACATGCCAATTTCAAAACCACAGGACATAATTACAAATTGCCCTGACAGTTTTTTTTTTTTAAATCACAACTGAAAATATAGAAAATAATATTGACAAAGCTATTAAGAAGTTTTTAGTTGGCTTTTAAAAAAATCTGTTTTAATTTAGACTAAGAAGGACTGTTTTGTCGTCCTACCTCCAGCACAGAAACCGAGTCGCTCTGGAACTGTTTGCCCAGCGCTGATCCACCACTGCAATCCCTACATCTCCCGCAGTTAGCCTAGAGCCAACCCCCCGCCCAGCTGTATCCTCTCCAAGCCTTGTTTCCCTTTTAGGCTTCCCCGCAGACTTATCCGATCTTCCGCTGATCCAGACAGGTCCATCGGTAGCTTCTCCCTGTCAGCTCCCAGGCGTGAAGACTCTTACTTTTTCTCTCAAAAATAAAGTTTTCAAAAAATTTCTACAGCAAAAAAATCCACCTTCTTCATCTAGTCAGAATTTGAAGATACAAAATGTAGAAGTAAGTATAGCGCCATCTATCTTTGCAGAGGATTCCTGCAAAGCCTTACTGAAATTACAACTGCAAAAGATACGTTCCATCCATCCATTTTCTCCCTCTCTCTCCGTGAGGGTGAGAGTTGAATAACTTTCATACTCTTATCCAAATAAAATGGTTTTGTTGTATTAGTCACAATGGCTAGTAAGTCATGCAGAATGCCAAAAACTATCCGCCTTACCCGTCAGTCTTTCCTATGCTTATCCTCTCTGATCTTGGCCTCTCGCATGCCTTGGTATCCTTCCTCTCTTTGTAGGGAAAAAGAGAGAGATGTATGAGCATCCTGTCTTCTGTTTGGCATCTCAAGTGATGGATTTAACTATTCGTGAGTATCTTTTGCTGTTTTCCGCTTTTTTCCACCATGTATTCTTGACTTATTTTTATTTAGACAGAGTGAATGCCAAGCGTCCTAAATGATCTGATCTCTTTGGTGTCTGACATCTTTTTCTTTGATTGTACCCTGTTTAGACTACATGGTAAATTTCTTTAGATTTTGTTCTTATATCTAACAACCCTTTATAAACAACTTTGTATGTGCTTCCTGTCCTGCTTTTGCCTCCCATTCTGTCTGTCTGCGAGATGAATGCCTTTTTTATTTGCTTTATGTAAATTGTTTCTAGTCTTGAGCAATACAGCAGTAAAAAAAAACACTACCCGTGTAAGGATTGTTAAAGTTCATTACAACAACCACCCAAACACACAAAAAATAATAAAATGGATATTGCATGAATGAAAACATGAGCCAAACATTATGTACACAACAGACAACGAATAAGAAATACAAAGAGTTTCAGTCCACCCGAGTGACGAGCAACTTGCACGTCATTCTGTTAGTTTTTGCGTGACGTGCATGTATAAGAAAGATGATGTTCTCAGCCATGTAGTTGGAATTAATGACAACTTTTTAAAGAATAAGAAAGCTACGGAAGAGGATTAGGGCCACTGAAAAAAAAAAAAGTTAACTGATTTTTTAATTTTATTTCAGTTTAACATGGGAAAAAAGTCAGAATTCTGACTTTAATCTCAGAATTCTGACTTTTTTTCTCAGAATTCTTACTGAATTCTGACAATAAAAAAAGTCAGAATTCTGACTTTTTTCCCATACTATACTGAAATAAAATAAAAAAAATCTGTTAACTTTTTTTTTTTTTCAGTGGCCCTAATCCTCTTCCGTAGAAAGCAATAAAAATATTGATGGTTATTATTTCTAGTGTACTTCAAATACTTATCCCAAAGTGCCACTGAAAAAAGCTATTTTAATTATTACTTTTATTCAAAGCATCCCCATCCGAAGAAGTTTATCTATATTTCCACGTTTTCAATTCAGTTAAATTTATTATTATTTAATTTCAATTTTCCATTCTTTCTTCTTTAGCTTGTTTAGTTTATTTTTGAAGTGGTTTGATCTGATGCTGCTGCCCCAACAGATGCTGGGAAAAGGACTCTTCAGAAGGGACATATAGAAGATAAGGCACATGCTGCTGTTATCTCAATCGAAGACGTTTTCCTTTTCTGAATAACAAGTTTTTTTTTAAGGCAAGCAAACAGCGGTGCCTCCAGAAATGTTTCATAGGGGGGGCCAGATGGGGCCTGACGTAGTCCTACTCAATTCTAGTCAGAATGAGTCTGATGCTGCTCCATAGAGCTGTGATTATGGGGCGTGTTTCCAACTAACCAGGAAAAAAAATGCCTCTGCACTCAATTGGATAGACCTACAACCAATAAGAGCAACGGAGTGCGTGACGTATGTTAAGCGATGCATAGTTGTTGTCAACAAAAATCAAAGCGTGCAGTTTCACGCCTAGAATAAGAAGATGAGCCTTGATCGCGTTTCTCTGTTCCTCTTTTAAAATTAATTTGCTGTCGATATCTTCTAGAACAGACCTAATAGCAGAATCTACTCACCTCAACTCTCCAGCGGCAGCCATTGTTGTTGTCACCCAAGCGCGCTTTGGTGACGTGGTTGATTACGTTACTGTTGATCATCTGTCCATCATCGTATAAAGCCCGCCCTGACAATTTGATTGGATCGCCACATATTGTGCTAGCATACTCGCGCTACTATGGAGCAATGTCATCCGAACTTCCCGACCTCAAACGTTGTGGGCGGGACTAAGTTCGGAATGGCACCCAGGCTAGACCAGATGGGGCCACTAAAAATCTTGGGGTGACACACTGAAACTAAAAGCCATAATTTCAGGGGTTTGAATCTACTTTTGTGGTAAACCTGCCTGTAGAAAACTATAATAAAGACTTAAGTAAACACCTATTCAGATCACGTTTTATTCTGTGTGATTTTTAATATTACTAACGATCGAATCTGTATAGACACAGAGCAGTTAACATTTTGAGTTAAACAGTATGCTTTGTTCTTATTCACTTTTTCTCCGTTGAAAGTGAGCTGAGCCGTAGTTTTCTTAGCATGCAAGAAAAAAAAGATGGGAAGGTGGGCTGCAGTGTTGTAGTGTTAACAATGAAAATAGTTTTTTCCTCAGCAATAATCAATATCTTGATTACAACAATAAACAGTTTATAAAATTTTACAGCAAAAATTGCCTGGTTAAAAAGAGCATTTGCCTGAGGCATAATCCATACAACAAGCAAAAAATACTCTGAAATTAACATTGAAACCTTAAACAGCAAGTAAATAGCTTTTCTGCATAAACAGGTAACTGTTTTGTCACACATTAGAAAAACGACTTTATTCTCCTGTCAACACAAAATGGTAAAGTTGTCACGTTGGGTGGAGGTTTTGAGGACCCAAATGCAGTGAGGAGTAGGCACAGATGAGTTTGGATGGTATAATGAAAATCCAAGGGAAACAGAGGCATAAAAAATTACTGAAAACCAAACAACACCAATAAACATCATGAAAAATACTCGAGGAAAGCAAGAGACTAGGAGGCAACCACACAGCATCTATAACTCACAAGAAACCAGCACTGAATGAAGGCTCTGGTACTCTTTTAAGCTCAGCACTATGATTATAAAGATTACTTTCACCTGTGTAGGCTACCCAAGTCCTTCACAATGATCCACTATCGTACTGTAGAGATGCACAGCTTGCACTAACACACACACACAGGAACCCTGACAAATGTGCTGAAACTTACTTAATCAAAGTGCATGAAAACCTCTGACATGAGTGCAAAATCTACCACCATGTGTGACAGTTGAAACAGAAAGGCGTTGCACAATACATCTATGTATTAGTCAGTGCAGTTTAGCAGGGAGCTAGGCAACACACATGCACACTGTTACTACAATCATGCTAACTATGTTTAACAGCAACAACATACCTGAAAATGTATGAATCTTTACTCCGATGAGGAACAGACCTCAGCATCTCCGGGCATTTGGGCTGAGACGGATGGTGTCCACTTCAAGATCGCTCTTAAATTGTAATTTCATACTTAACCACAATCTGCACAATCATAAAGACACATGTGAGCTGGGAGGCCAGTGGGGTGGCCAGAGCATTGTACGGGGTGGCCGCAGCCACCCCTGGCAACCCCCTAGTGGTGCCACTGCAAACAAATGATGGCATCTTAAGAACTGATCATGTTGAACTACTTGGCTACATAGCAGCAAAACACGCATGAATAAAACAACAAGCTATGTCTATGAAAAGTTATGGATTTCTTTAAACGATTCTGTATTGTTTGTGTGTTTCCTCAGCTTCAGTAGCAAAACATATTGTGCATCTGTGTGTTGACAGCAACAACAAGGAGAGGAAACTGTAACACTGGTGGTAACATCAATGCTAACCTGGGGTAATGCCGTCACACAGCATTGGGGGACAGAGACCATGCCAGCAGTGGGTCAGTCCCAGCTTCTCTTGCCATTTGGAACAAACCAAATGCTGACTGATAGCAGGTCAACCCATGTTTGAAAAAAAATATTTAATTCACTCAATTCTGTGGGAAAGAGGCTTGAGTTTATTCGGTTAAATTCATCTTATTTATGTAGCACCGATTAGCAACATATGTTACAGTAGCAGCCATTCAAAACAGCCAATCCCAGTCAAAAGCCAAGCGAGTGGCAGCAAAATCCCCTTCTACTTCCAGCCACTGGCCTTCTCCTGCATATTTTTTTACTCTGACTTCACCCTTTCACTGAATTACAGGATCTGACCAGGAGATGGCGCTTCTCTTTAGATCCTAATGTCTACAAATCATGACAGAAAGAATATTTTAGTACAAGGATTGATGTAGGCGACCCGTCAAGGACCAGCAGAAAGTTTCTAACAAAATCTATGAAAAAACAGCAAAACATTCATGGATTTGCTGGCACACAGCAAAAATGCCTGCGTTAAAATTTAAGGTGTAGTGTTAATTAAATAGTGTGGCTGTTGAATTAACAGCAGTAAAATAACACTGCCATTGTAACTTATGATATATTTATGTTTTTAGGTTGGAGTTCTATATGGAAGAATTATCCTGCCATAATGCAAGAGCACATAATTTCAATTTGAGAAAAGAATTTCATCTTCTTGCACTCAAAACTTATAATGCTCACACTCCAAACATGCGCTCTCTCTCAAATATTTTCTCTTCTCTCTCAAATCTTTGTTTCTTCTCTCAGATTTAATGCTTCTTGCACAGATATTTTCTCCTCTCGCTTGCCTCCTTCTCTTCGCGCACAAACCGCGCTCTGCTCGAGTCTCAGATACGCTCGCAAACCTGTAGGCTCTGCTTGCGGATTTGTTTTTGCTTTCTCTCGGATTGGATCGGATCGTCGCCTAGCAACCTTTCCAGCCAATAGAACGACAGCCTCGGAAAGGGTGCGCTTGTCTAACTCTACTGAGTGTGCCTGTGATAAACTTTACCGACAATAAAATGCCAGCCTCCCTAAAGTAGCCTTAGAAGGTTGAAGATTTGGGATGGAACACACACTTTTCAGCTTTTAAACAAACACGACTCTTAAGAAATGCAGAAAACACTTGTCCTACATTGAAATGGTGTTCCGTCATACGTCATACAAACTCTGCTTTGTTTTAACGAATAGAAATATACGAAATCTAACGGTGGATGTCTGGGGGACAGTGATTGGCCTCCATGTTCTGAATGCTGGCGTACCATAAAGAATAAATGATGAACAGTTTAGTTTGTGCCTTCAAGTCGTTGCCCATAGGAAGACGTTACTGGATATAACCTAACGGAATATCTTCAGAACGGCTCCAAATGACACTAAACTCATATGGGAGAGTAGAACATGATGGAATAACGGAAAATCAAGGACCAATGGAAAAAAAACGGCGTTCCCCTTTAGAGAGGAAGATGGCTGGAACTTTAGTTAGGCCAAACTCCTTTTGACAAAGCTAGATGGTACTTGCCTTTTTAAACAGTACTAAATATTGTCCACTCCTTAAAAATGTATTCTATTTTTTATTATATCATATTATATTTATTCTATTTCCTCAGTAGGTACTTACTGTTAATTTAGTTTTCTTTTTAGTTTTTCTTCTTTTGATTTTTAGATACAAATCAAATGTGATGGAATGCCTTTTTTACATCAGTTTGCAAACCCTAATAAATAAAGATGATTATTATTAAAATAATATCTTTCATTTCAGACAAAAATGCATTAGTTTAAAAATTGCAGTAGTTTCACGTGTGGTGGGAAAATATCAATTTCCTATGGAAATGGATAGAATATAATATCAGTCCTTTAAGCTGCAAGGCTACATGGTCTCAGCGTGAGAGATGTTTTTATCCTATTAGGGATTTTTTAGGATTTAAACAACACGCCAGACTCTTAAGGGGTTATTCATGATATTATACTATTTTCCTCAACTATCTGTTGTTGTTTTGATTGACAGAATGTGGAGACCATCACCGCTTTTAGTGGACGAACCTCTGTCTAATCAGAAAATGACAGAAAATCAAGCTGCTATGATCGTCTTGTTCTCTCTTTGCAAAGATAAATAAAATGACGACTGATTGATTTACCATCTATCTCCTTTATTTAAGTGGATTGCACAGTTGAATGTTTTTTTTTTTTCCTACGACACATGTAATATTAAATACAATAAATCAGTCACTATCCAACCAAACCGCTCCAATAATCCATTTTTACTTTTAGAATCCCGGCCTGCCTTTTATGCCCGATAACTTCACTGTCCCGTTGTAAGTGATAAAAAATACTTTGCTGTTCTGATATATGAGAGTAATGGATGAAGTGGAAGCACTTTGCTTTGTACTATGGTGTTTCTACCTCAAATTCCATTATCTGCCTTATATACCTTATCTATATCATCTGCATTCTAACACCTTAAATCTCATTCTCATCCTTATACCATGGCCTATTACTCTACCTACAGATGTGTAAATCTACTGCTTAGTGGAACTTGTCTGAAGTTGATTTCACAAGGTTCTGTCAATCAACCAGTTAGGTTATTTTCTGGCCATAGTATAAAAGACACCTCTCACTTAACAAACTGAAGGTGTGGAAGTCAAACTTTCATTTAGTGTAGCCTGCAGTGATCAGCCAATATATTATGACCATTGCTGAGTAGCACAGGACTAATCAAATTGAAATGCACTTTATTGTGAAATGAAATTCATTTTCCAATATTCTGTAACAGCGTAATGAGACGATAGTGATCGTCATCGTCCTTCTCTGAGTGGTCACAATACTTTGGCATATGTATTGCTACATTTATTGTGAAATCTAAGTGCAACAAACACATGAAAACGAAAGAAAGATAAGAACATTACTGCATGATAAGTGTTTCGTGTCTCTGCTTCTGTCCCTCGTCATGTCCATGTTTTATTTTTTCTAATGTTAGCACTGCTCTGTCAAAATAAACTGCCAATTATTCATAAATATATATCTATGTATCTATATAAATATATATAGACACACTATATTGCCAAAAGTTTTTGCTTACTCATAAAAATGAGTGGAATCCTGTGTTCCAATTACTTCCATGGACACAGGTGTATAAAATTAAGCACCTGTAGGCCACCTGCACAAAAAAAGTCAGCCGTATAATCAGAAGATGGAAGTACCGTAAATCCTCTAATATTGGCCTGTATTCCATTAGCGGCCGGAGATCGTAGTGGCCACAATTGTTCTGATCCGCAAGTGATGAGGAGATTATGGGGAAAGAATTGGAGAATTTTTATTTTTTGTTGTTGTTTTACTACCAACTAAACACGACAATTTGAGTGAGCGGCACGGTGATTAAACCTGTAAGTTGCCTTTTGTTATGAATAATGATCACCATGGAAAATGTTCAATAAGTTTGATCTGTGGTGAACAGCGTTAAAATGACAGATATCATTGGCCTTTGTTGTTCTGAATTTCCCTTGGGTTGTACGACACCGTTAGTCTACGTCACGTCGCTCTGATGGCAGAACAGTTTTTGTCCCATTTTTTTAAAAACGTTGTTTGGAAAGTCAATTTGGCCAAGATTCCATTCTTTGTAGGCTTTTTTTTCTTTTCGTATTGCCGTGCAGCAAATTGCAGCTGCTGGAAAACGTCTAAATTACCCGTATTTGTTGATAATGTTCTGTATATCATTATATTAACTGTACTTTTTCAATAAACAAACTTAGTATTCTATAGGTTCAAATAGACACAAAATCTCTTTTTTTATTGATTCCACTGATAGTTTGTTTCGCTCAAATAGAAATAGAGGCCTGCCTCTAATTCTGGCCTCCTTCCAATAATGGCCTGGACCAAGATGTACCTAAGTGAAATAAAGGCCCCGTCCTATATTAGAGGATTTACGGTATCAGCAATGTAACCTCATGGAGTGGTGGGGGTGCTGGGGGGGCAGCAGATGCCGAAGCGCATAGTGCGAAGAGGTCATCAACTTTCTGCAGAGTAAATCACTGCACACCTCCAAACTTTATGTGGCCTTCATGTTAGCTCAAAGAACGCAGAGAGCTCCAAAGAATGGGTTTCATTGGTCGAGCGGCTGCATCACCAGGTGCAATGTAAAGCAAACTGCACTGCAAAAACGATGTAGATATAAGTCAACATTTCTTAAATTAAGTGGATTAACCCTTAATTTGAGTAGGTAAAGAAGACGATTTGCCAATGGAATTTACGGAGCCCCTCTGATGACATGGTCAAAAAAAATGTTTAATTGTGGCCACGAAGTAGTCTTTCGCGGCCACGCAATAAGTATAACGTGCGCACAAAATACTGCTTCGTGGCCACGCAATAAGTTCAATGTGCGCACGAAATACTTCTTAATAATATCAATAAATCCGCCCCTGTTTTCAGGCTTATGTTAACTGTAATGACTTATCTTGGACAGGCTGCTATGTAAACGGGCCTTTAGTCCTTCGTTTAGCTAGGCTGCGGTTGTTTACACTACGCCTTTTCCACCTAAAATGGCGTCTTAGCAACAAATGTCACGTGACTGGCGGAGACCGACTGGGTAAGCAAATCGAGCGCGCCTTCTCTAAGGCCAGAAATGATATTAATATTATTATTTAGTATTTCGTGCGCACGTTAAACTTATTGCGTGGCCACGAAATACTACTTCGTTGCCACAATTAAAAAATTTTTTTGGACCATGTCATCAGAGGGGCTCTGTAGGAATTAGTATTTTAAAATAAGATAATTAGATATTATGCACTTGAAATTGTTATGATCTTGGCACTGATGGCTGGCTTATTGCTCATTTCATTCACCTGCCTAACTCTGCCCGGTTTCCAATTACCTCTCATCTAATCCACCTGCTGCTGCTTCTATTTATGCGGCTCAGTCCGAGCAATTGTGACCAGATTATTGTTGTTGATGCTGATGCCTTTTTTTCTAGTGTTCATTATCGGGGCCATTGGAGAGAGGGTTCTTAGCATTGCGTAGTGTTCCTGATATCCTGACCCTGATCTGCCTCTCATCCACTGAGCATGCCCTGTTCCTGTCTTGGCTAATTGGAGAGAGCGGATTTAGAGTTCCGCAGTGTTCCTGATATCCTGATCAGTTCTGCCTCTCAACCACGGTTCCTGTCTGAACATTCTGCCTGAACTGTCTGTAGAGTCCTGGAACTCTGAACCCTCCTGTTCCTGTTCTGATCTTTTTCCCTGACCTTGCTCAGACTCCTGCTGGTACTCCAGGGCTGCAGCATCTGGGACACTCTAGGCGGCACCCAACCTCATCTCCTTTGCAGCCCACCAGCTGGATCTTATCTGGTTATATGGGGATGGAATGAGTGGTTAAACCAAAGTTTCCAGTGATGGGTGGACGTCCTTCTTTTCTATCTCGCTTTTTAAATGTAAATTCTCTTTTTCCATTGGCAAAAAGTCTGACTTACCTCTTCAAGAAAAATGCCCGTATTTTAATAAAGATAAGTTATTTAGATTTCAATTTTTTTCCAGTGTTCCACTGGACTCCTGAACAGTGGAAACACCTTGTATGGAATAATGAATCACTATCTGATGGATGAGTCTGGGCTTGGCAGCTGCCAGGAGAATGCTACCCGTCTGACTGCATTATTCCAACTTTAAAGTTTGGTGGATATTGGATCGTTTTTTGCTTCCAGCTGTGTGAGAACAATTTGAAACTAACCTTTTCCTCTTCAAGCCTGATTTATCACCAGAGCACTAAGTAAGGTCCATAAAAACATGGATGTCAGGGTTTGGTGTGGATGAACTGTATAAGCCTGCACAGAGTCCTAAAATCAACCTTCTAGAACAGTTTTGGGATGAATTAGAGCGCAGACTGAGAGCCTGGCCTTCTCGTCCAGCAGTAGTGTGTGACCTCACAAATGCGCCTCTGAAAGAATGGTCAAAATTTCCCATTAGACTCCTAAACAGTGTGGACAGCCTTCAGAGAAGAGTTGAAGCTGTTGTAGCTGCAAAAGATGGAATCGCACCCTAATTAACCCCTAAGGTTTACGTTACTGAAACTCATAGGTGAGCCAAAGCAGGTGAGCGGATACTTTTGGCACTATAGTGTAAGTCAATGCATGGGTTAAATGGGTTGATTTATTGATGTGTAACCCCTAAAATGGAAATCAATGGTTGCAGACGTGCAGATTGTTACAGTTACAGTAAGAAGTTTGTTTTTAACAGATGGAATATGAACAATCTGCGTGACAACAGCTGATTCCAGGTTCTTGAGTTGCTCAGGCCATTAAATCCATGGTTTGTTATTTAATTAGATAACGTGCATGTTTTGTATGTCAGGAAAACATATGGTTATGTTAGGACACTAAAGGTTGCATGAAGGCTTTATCCAGGAGTTTTTCTTCCTGATAAAAGCTGACTTTGTTGATTCTTAACACTTGTTTTCAGAAAACGTAGGCCGTTTAGTCACCCCTGCTAAAAAATTGGAAGACACTATCCGGCTGTCCGAGCTGGTCATCGAGGTCCTTCAGCAGAATGAGGAACACCATGCGGAGGTCAGTATGCTGCTGAGCATTTCCATGCAATATGTCCCCCAGGTTACTCTTCTCCAAAGTTTGCAGCCACCATTATTGTTTTACCTGCAGTTATGAAATGGTTAAATTGCTAAAACATTCATTAGAGAATATTTATTCTGTTGAAGGGCTCTACAGTGCAATCATTTTATTCTTCACACTGCAAAAGAAATGTCAATCTAAGTAAGTTAATTTTACCTAAATTAAGTGTCTTTGTTATTGAATTGAGGAGGTAAGGGAGACACTATGCCAATGGAAATGACTATTTAAATTTAAAATAAGGAAAAACAATTGCATTGTTGTATTTCAAGCCCATAATATCTAATGATCTTATTTTGAGAGTAAAGATACTAATTTCATTGACAAATCATGTAATTTACCTGCTGAAATGAAGGGTAAGTACATTTAAATGAATACATTTTTATGTATTTCTATAGGGATGCACGATATAATCGGCCCCCTATCGGTATTGGCCTTAAAACTGAATATCGGACATCGGCCACCCCACCGATATTTAACCCGATATTTGATCAGCTTCTGAGTTTCTAAAGTCTAAAAAAATATAAAAAATACTACTTCTTCTTCTTCCACAAAAACTTCTTTTTTACAGACTTAAAAAATTCTAAAGACGAGGGAAAAAATATTGATCCATTAAAATATCCCAATATCTTCATATGCTGATATATTGCCATTTAAAAACACCATATCAATCTCTTTTACTAATGAAATATTGCTATATGTCATCGTTATGCTACGAAATCCCCCGAAAATTCACCAAATGTTGCCATATTTTTATATGTTGATATATTGACGCGGTATCGATCTATTTTACTAACAAAATCTCACAAGAATTTGCAAAATATCACGAGAGTTTGTAACAGAACGATGAAATTTCACCAGATTTTGAAAGTAAAATAGATCGATACCGCGTTTTTAAAAATCTATTTGATATCAGCATATGAAAATATATTTGAGTATATTATTTTTCAAAGTGTCAGAAATGGATAACAAAACTGCTATTTTCAATGACTACTTATTTTTGTCCAGCTTTAACATCGGTATCGATATCGGTTATCGGCTACATGAGTTTTAAAATATCGGCATATCGGCCAAAATCCCAATATCGTGCATCTCTATATTTCTACACTGTTTTTGTAGTGGAAGTAAATGCATAACCAGGCTCTGTGGGGAAATACATATTTGCAAACCTCGTCTTCCTGGCAGCGACAGCTGCCATCAAGCATGACTGACAATGAATCCTTTAAATCACTCGAGGGGAATTTTGACCCAAACTTTGCTGTACATTTGACAAAATTTACAAAGGATCACTACAAAAATAAAATAAAACCACTTTACAGACTGATAGTGAATTGGGACTACAGTTTGCATTTTTGAGAGAGTATATCTATTTTTAAAAGCGACTATATTGCTGTACAATAACAGCATAAAAGCCACACTGCAAAAAATGTAAATCTGTCAGTCATTTTTCTCCTAAAATAAGTGCTTCTTTTTTCTTGAATTGAGAAATTAATAGAGACATTTTGTCGATGAATGATGACCACATTGTTCACATAAACAAACAAAAAAAAAAAATAGCAATCTGTTATATTAAGTTCATAGTATTTAGTTCTCTTATTTTAAGGCTACAAATTCAAATGAAGGGTAAATAAACTTATTTTGAGAATTGTTCACCCATTTTAACATCATGTATGAAGTGTAAGGATACATATCACATAGAAAATGTGTTTCATCATAAATTAGATTATTTCTTGGATTCAGAACTACAGTAAATTTGATTGACTTCCTTTCTGCTTTTTACTTCAATGGTTTATTTGGTTGGCGTGCAATATTATGCACAGGGAAGGGAGGTAAGTACAAAGTGCATTACTCTCCCCTCCTATCCTAATCAACCCAGGCCCTCTGCATGCACATAATCAAACAGATGTTTTTGCAGAGGATCCTTTATGTTTTCTGCATTTTTGCTGCAAGTAAAGTGCTTGTCATAATACTTTGTATTCCTAAAGGTAAAGCCGTATACAAAAGTACCAACAAGCACTTCAGCAATTTTGAAAACAGACCTTTGCTCTGAAAAAAGCAAACTGCGGAGTTGTGACAATTGCTGCTGATCGTCCAACTCGGTACCTGTTTTCAAAGATTTACCCTTAAATCATTCCTCAAGATGCTGAACTATCAATCATGGTGTGAAACTAACTAATCTGTTTGTAATATAAAATCTAATGGTGACTGAAGTCCAGCATTATTTTTAAATATAGTCAGTGCTGTTTTATAGTCATATATACAATCCTATCCTCCTTGCTGCTCATGTAATCATGTGTTTAAGTTATGATCACTGGAGATATGAAACATGCCTTTAAAGGTTTATAACAAAACATTTAAACACACCAGCAGAAAATATTATATTTACATAGGATTTTAGGTTAAAGTGAATAAAAAGATGACATCCTTCATCCTATCAGAGAGAGGAAAATAAATAAAAAAACACAAAAACAAAGGTGGCATTTAGAGACTCACCAGGAGGTAAAAGAGGAGGACTCCATCCAGTTCAGGACAAAATAACGACTAAATCTTCCTGGAATGAACTTAGTTTCCTATTTTTATGTTTCATTTAACGCAATATCCAACAAAGTGTGTAGCTTCAAACTAAATCCTAAAGGTTTTTTCACGTTGCAGAAAAGTTCTGTTGTATTAGCAATGAAGTTAATGAATGTTTTTTTTACTTTTAATCAGAATCAGAATTACTAAGTTAATTATATTCTTGCAGTGCGACTGTATACAGAAGAGAGAAAAATAGGATTGTTAGCAAAATAAAATATGATATAATTAGACAGTTTAAAATAAGTCAAATTACAATGCAGTAAGTTTACTCCCCTCCCGTATAAACTGTGTAAAATATAGGAACAGAATAAGATTAAGGATAAGAATAAAATAAGATAAGGATAATAATAAGATAAGATAAGGATAAGTTAAAATAAGATAAGGATAATAATAAAATAAGATAAGGATAAGATAAAATAAGATAAGGATAATAATAAAATAAGATAAGGATAATAATAAGATAAGGATAAGATAAAATTAGATAAGGATAATAATAAAATAAAATAAGGATAAGATAAAATAAGATAAGATAAGGATAATAATAAGATAAGGATAAGTTAAAATAAGATAAGGATAAAATAAAATGAGATAAGGATAATAATAAAATAAGATAAGATAAAATATGATAAGGATAATAATAAGATAAGATAAGGATAAGATAAAATAAAATAAGATAAGGATAATAATAAGATAAGATAAGGATAAGTTAAAATAAGATAAGGATAATAATAAGATAAGGATAAGATAAAATTAGATAAGGATAATAATAAAATAAAATAAGGATAAGATAAAATAAGATAAGATAAGGATAATAATAAGATAAGGATAAGTTCAAATAAGATAAGGATAAAATAAAATGAGATAAGGATAATAATAAAATAAGATAAGATAAAATATGATAAGGATAATAATAAGATAAGATAAGGATAAGTTAAAACAAGATAAGGATAAGATAAAATGAGATAAGGATAATAATAAAATAAGATAAGATAAAATATGATAAGGATAATAATAAGATAAGATAAGGATAAGTTAAAACAAGATAAGGATAAGATAAAATGAGATAAGGATAATAATAAAATAAGATAAGATAAAATATGATAAGTATAATAATAAGATAAGATAAGGATAAGATAAAATAAAATAAGATAAGGATAATAATAAGATAAAATACGGATAAGTTAAAATAAGATAAGGATAAGATAAAATAAGATAAGGATAATAATAAAATAAGATAAGGATAAGATAAAATAAGATAAGATAAGGATAATAATAAGATAAGATAAGGATAAGTTAAAATAAGATGAGGATAAGTTAAAATAAGATAAGGATAAGATAAAATAAGATAAGGATAATAATAATAATAAGATAAGGATAATAATAAGATAAGGATAAGTTAAAATAAGATAAGGATAAGATAAAATAAGATAAGGATAAGATAAAATGAGATAAGATAAAATATGATAAGGATAATAATAAGATAAGATAAGGATAAGTTAAAACAAGATAAGGATAAAATAAAATAAGATAAGGATAATAATAAGATAAGATAAGGATAAGATAAAATAAAATAAGATAAGGATAATAATAAGATAAAATAAGGATAAGTTAAAATAAGATAAGGATAAGATAAAATGAGATAAGATAAAATATGATAAGGATAATAATAAGATAAGATAAGGATAAGTTAAAACAAGATAAGGATAAAATAAAATAAGATAAGGATAATAATAAGATAAGATAAGGATAAGATAAAATAAAATAAGATAAGGATAATAATAAGATAAAATAAGGATAAGTTAAAATAAGATAAGGATAAGATAAAATAAGATAAGGATAATAATAATAAGATAAGGATAATAATAAGATAAGGATAAGTTAAAATAAGATAAGGATAAGATAAAATAAGATAAGGATAATAATAAGATAAGATAAGGATAAGTTAAAATAAGATAAGGATAATAATAAAATAAGATAAGGATAAGATAAAATAAGATAAGGATAAGATAAAATAAGATAAGGATAATAATAAGATAAGATAAGGATAAGTTAAAATAAGATAAGGATAATAATAAAATAAGATAAGGATAATAATAAAATAAGATAAGGATAATAATAAAATAAGATAAGGATAATAATAAGATAAGGATAAGATAAAATTAGATAAGGATAATAATAAAATAAAATAAGGATAAGATAAAATAAGATAAGATAAGGATAATAATAAGATAAGGATAAGTTAAAATAAGATAAGGATAAAATAAAATGAGATAAGGATAATAATAAAATAAGATAAGATAAAATATGATAAGGATAATAATAAGATAAGATAAGGATAAGATAAAATAAAATAAGATAAGGATAATAATAAGATAAGATAAGGATAAGTTAAAATAAGATAAGGATAATAATAAGATAAGGATAAGATAAAATTAGATAAGGATAATAATAAAATAAAATAAGGATAAGATAAAATAAGATAAGGATAATAATAAGATAAGGATAAGTTAAAATAAGATAAGGATAAAATAAAATGAGATAAGGATAATAATAAAATAAGATAAGATAAAATATGATAAGGATAATAATAAGATAAGATAAGGATAAGTTAAAACAAGATAAGGATAAGATAAAATGAGATAAGGATAATAATAAAATAAGATAAGATAAAATATGATAAGGATAATAATAAGATAAGATAAGGATAAGTTAAAACAAGATAAGGATAAGATAAAATGAGATAAGGATAATAATAAAATAAGATAAGATAAAATATGATAAGTATAATAATAAGATAAGATAAGGATAAGATAAAATAAAATAAGATAAGGATAATAATAAGATAAAATACGGATAAGTTAAAATAAGATAAGGATAAGATAAAATAAGATAAGGATAATAATAAAATAAGATAAGGATAAGATAAAATAAGATAAGATAAGGATAATAATAAGATAAGATAAGGATAAGTTAAAATAAGATGAGGATAAGTTAAAATAAGATAAGGATAAGATAAAATAAGATAAGGATAATAATAATAAGATAAGGATAATAATAAGATAAGGATAAGTTAAAATAAGATAAGGATAAGATAAAATAAGATAAGGATAAGATAAAATGAGATAAGATAAAATATGATAAGGATAATAATAAGATAAGATAAGGATAAGTTAAAACAAGATAAGGATAAAATAAAATAAGATAAGGATAATAATAAGATAAGATAAGGATAAGATAAAATAAAATAAGATAAGGATAATAATAAGATAAAATAAGGATAAGTTAAAATAAGATAAGGATAAGATAAAATGAGATAAGATAAAATATGATAAGGATAATAATAAGATAAGATAAGGATAAGTTAAAACAAGATAAGGATAAAATAAAATAAGATAAGGATAATAATAAGATAAGATAAGGATAAGATAAAATAAAATAAGATAATGATAATAATAAGATAAAATAAGGATAAGTTAAAATAAGATAAGGATAAGATAAAATAAGATAAGGATAATAATAATAAGATAAGGATAATAATAAGATAAGGATAAGTTAAAATAAGATAAGGATAAGATAAAATAAGATAAGGATAATAATAAGATAAGATAAGGATAAGTTAAAATAAGATAAGGATAATAATAAAATAAGATAAGGATAAGATAAAATAAGATAAGGATAAGATAAAATAAGATAAGGATAATAATAAGATAAGATAAGGATAAGTTAAAATAAGATAAGGATAATAATAAAATAAGATAAGGATAATAATAAAATAAGATAAGGATATCAATAAAACAAGATAAGGATAGAACCTAATATTCTTATTTTAGTGTCTTTCACATTTAGATAAAAAGCTCAAAGCTTCTATTGATGGATGGTTCTGGAAACATTAGAGGCCACATTTCCACAAAAACAATTTAGCATCTTCCAAATGTCATTGAAGAGTGATTTCAGATGTTATTTTTACTCTTTGTCACCTTTGTATTTTTGTGTATCTCGTTCTACTGCATATCAAACTATTTCAAGTTAGAGCAAGGTGTCAAATACTAGACCTTGTTACATGAACGGCAATGACTGATTGTTTCCCTCCTCCCGACTTTCCCACATCAAATATCTGCTGCTAAGAGCTGCTAAAGCAAGTGCATGAGCCCCAATCCTCTCCCACAGCAAGTGGTACAAGAGCCAGTCGGTACATTCACATTACAGTGTTAACAGCTTGATGTGAACTGTGGCTCCTCAGAAGTCTGTCCTCAGAGGCCCAGCAAGAGCAGCACTGCATGAAGAATAGTGTATTTTTGATGTGCATGAGAGTAGTGGGTTTGCACTTGCTCCACCGCATCTTTTCTACTGGAAAGCTGTGTGAGCGGCACACCTCGCTAGCTCCTTTCTTCTGACTGAGTAAGTGAAGGAGCTGTGGGTGAGTGTTTAAGTAGCTCCCTACCATGCTTGTCGAGAAGCTTCTGCTGTTTCTGCAGTGGGGCCTTAAGAAAAGCATGTCGTTTTCTGTGCCAAAGAGCTGTTGTTTGTGCCCCAAGTTGTGAAGAGGTCTCCCCTTGAGATCACACATCAAATTCTTTAATTTAGCAACTTCACTTCACATGGTAATAAGTGTAAGATAGAGCCAACATTCATCATCATTACAGCAGAATAGTGGGGCAACATTTGATTGTGAATCTTTTTGCAATACTTAAACTTTAATACTAAACAAAGAGTTATTATTAGAGATAAGCTGTGCAAGATAAACCCTTTACTCACTGACTTGTAATGTTTTCTTTATTGCTTTTTCTTTGCTGTCCGGATCCCCTGTCTGTCCTTTATTTGAAGGCCTTTGCATGGTGGTCAGACCTGATGGTGGAGCATGCCGAGACCTTCCTGTGTCTTTACTCAGCCGATATGGACGGAGCGCTCGAAATTCAGCCACCTGACAGCTGGGACAGTTTCCCACTTTTCCAGCTGCTCAATGACTTTCTGAGAGTGGACTGTGAGTGATTCTGAAACCTATATGTCACCAGATGTTACAATAACCTACAAACACATGAGGTATTTTTAAACTAAGGATAAACTGTGAGATTAACTACATTTTGCTTTCCTTTTTTACATCTAGAGTGGGATAATTAGAAAGCATGTTGAGTCCATAAGTGAGCTACTTGATTCAGCAATTAGCTTGTATGTATGCAGAGGGAGCAACTGCAGATGCCACTTGAATCATATTTTGCCTTGCAAGCTTGCAGGGACAGATGGGTCAGAGTTTTAGTAAACTTTAGATTTTTTTTCATTAAGCCTGGAATTGGAAAGTTGATTTGTTGGCTTGGTCATTTCTAGAAAACAAGTCACTCCTTAACAAATGATCCAGGTGTCTAAACAGATTGACTCCTGTTTTATAGTCTGTGAATTAAACATTTGGATGAATAAACTAGTTTATTTGAAATGTTTAAAAGTTCAAAATGTTAAGTTTAGCCTTCATCTTGAGTTGGCCGAACTTTTTTTGTGTTTTTTGGAATTGTGAATTTTAGAAAATTTAATGTCCAATATATGAATCCTCTTTTTTTTTTTTTTTTTTTACTTAATATCAATGTCCTCCTTATCACACCTCAGTAAAAAAATATTTCATCTTTAGTTTAAAGCAACTCTTTTAGTTTAAAATGCAGACAGTAATAGTGTTAGCTCCAAACCAGTGCTTTGCGGCCTCACGTAGAAGACCACACCCTGCTCTATGTGACAGCTACAAACCGTAATTACGTTAAAGTTAAATATTTTATTTTTATAGGGATTGTACAGAAGGTATAATGTCATGTCATTGGCCATCATCTGTTAAGTAGTAATTTTTAATGTTGAAATTGAGCATTTAAAGAACACTGAACCTCCTATTAAACAAAACAACTCCGAATATTGGTTTTAACAACAAAAGTTTGTAGAACTTCCTGCCATCTTCCAGCAGTGACGTCACGGTGCGGTAAGCCTAGCGCCATTCTCCCCGCTTTCCAAGCTAAATCAATGGGAACTACTAGACACATCTGCAATCAACAACAATCATTGAAGATTTCCAGAGGACTTCACCATTGAAATTCACCAGAGCTATAGTGAAACTGACAATGCCCACGTGCATGGCAGCTGGATGCTGGAATACATCGGGTAAAAGTGAAACAAAGAGTTATTCCACCTTTCTGATTCCTGATCCTCCACGGACGGGTTGGTCGTTGGATCGCCAACTTGAAGAGGGAGGATTTGCCATCGAACTTCTGGCCAGAGAAAAAACCCGTAATATGTAGCCAACATTTGGAAGAAGAATGTTTTCAAGATGACTTGGATAATAGCGCGTTGTGACAAACACCAGATACAGCACTGGGACTTGATCAACAGCCGATACCGCACCGTGACAATGTCACTAACCAGTAGGTGGCAGTAGTGTTCTTTGACAAACATGGATGCCTCCAGTAAAGCACATTCACATGAAAATTAGTCTTCAATAAAAACACATAATTTATTGAACAGTATGTAATAATTTTATATTTAAAGTGCTTTCAGAAGTTTGAATTCTGAATATGACTTTTCCTATAATGCCTAAATTAACTTAAAATGTCAAAACCTGGTGGCAAAATATGTTCGCTTTTATTATCCCGGTCCTAAAATCTACCCCCATTTGCCACCCACAGTAGGCAACCGACCCTGAGGCAGCTGCTGCTATGTGTTCCCGGTGACAGCGCATCGCCGGTATCTGGTGGTCAAAGAAATAATATTTGAAGGCATGATCATAATCCGCCATGGAATACTGTCATGATGGGTTTGAAAGTTTGCCCACATGCAGAAACGACTCAGAGGCTGGGTAAAAGTTAAACAGCTTATTGTGAAGGTGTGGAACTCAGAGAGTGAAAAAGAGGACCTCACAGGGACAAAACAAAGGGGATTCTCAGCTTGGGGAATATCCGGCGGTCAGGTGAACCGGAACCGGAAACTCTAGAAGGAGATCAGAGTGGTGAGTTCATGGTCCATGGGATTTACAGGCCACTACTGGAATTTAGCCAGATAAGGACTCACAGTTGACGACTAGTGGTTTCTCCTTGGTTCCTGTTTGTGGGGTCTGCACAGAAAAAGTGATAGTTGGCTGGAGGGCGGACAGGCAGACTTGTTGTGGTCCAGAGGAGCAGCGGAGCGGACTGTCAACGAGCTTTCATGAAGTGGCCTGCATACTGAAGCGGTGAATATTTTCCAGAATCTCAGAGAGACGAATGGATTCCTTCCAAGGCTTGAAGGACCAGGCTTATCCAGTGGATCAGGAGATAATCCTGACAAAAACCACAAAGAAGACAAAGGGTTAGATCAGAGGAGCTCTGAGAGGCTAGAGTGGCGACGAGGTGGTGACAGTCTGCTGCTTATATACCCCTCTGGTAATGAAAAAACAAGCCGCAGGTGTGGGTGGAAAACCAGGAAGAGGCCCTCCAGGCCAACAGTAAAAAGGGCACCCTCTAGTGGATGGGCGGTGACACTAAAAAAACACAAAAACATCTCCCACAAACAGAAACCCTAACAAATACTGGGTCAGCTCTACACCCTCAGCAGGATCCTAGAGGGTGCATGGGAGTTTGCCCAGTCTACATGTGTTTTGCTGATGTGGAGATGGCATTTGACTAAGGGCTGTTAGGTCTGTGTATGACCGGTGTCAGTGCCTGATCCGCATCACCGACAGTAAGTCTGACTCATTCCTGGTGAGGGTTGGACTCCGCCAGAGTTGTCCTTTGTCTCAGATCTGTTCATAACTTTTATGGACAAAATTTCTAGATGCAGCCAAGGTGTTGAGGGGATCTGTTTTGGTGCCCTTAGGATCACATCTCTGTTTTGCAGAGTTTGAAGTGGCTGAGATGAAGATCATTGCCTCAAAATCCAGGGCCAGAGAGTGCCTTCTACAGGTTGGGGAGGATGTACTACCCCTAGTGGGGGACTGTGGAGGAGTTTAATTATCTTGGGGTCTTGCCAAAGAATGAGAGGAAGGTAGAGTGGGAGATCGAAAGGCAGATTGGTGCTGTACCGGTTTGTTGATTTGAACCGCAAGTTGAGCCAAAAGGCAAAGCTCGCAATTTAGATCTACGTCCCCATTCTCATCTATGGTCTTGAGCATTGGGTCATGACTGAAAAAACGAGATTCCAGATAGAGGTGGCCAAAATGAGTTTTTTCCATAGTATGTCTTGGCTCTCCTTTTGAGGGTAAGGATCTCAGTCATCTGAAAAGGACAGAGAGTAGAGCCACTGCTCCTACACATCGGAGGAGTCAGTTACAGTGTCTCAGGCCTCTGGTTAAGATGACTCCTGGAAGCCTGGCCGGTAAGGTGTTCCTGGCACATCCCACTGAAAGGAGACCCATGGGGAGACCCAGGCCACGCTAGAAGGACTATGTTTCTCGGCTGGCCTGGGAACGCCTTGGGTTTCCCTGGGGTTAACCGCCAAAGTGGCTGGGGAGAGGGACGTCTGGGCCTCCCTACTGAAGCTGCTACCCCCGCAACCTGATAAGCGGAAGAAGATGGATGGATGGATGGATGGATGGATGGATGGATGGATGGATGGATGATGGATGGATGGATGGATGGATGGATGGATGATGGATGGATGGATGGATGGATGGATGGATGATGGATGGATGGATGGATGGATGGATGATGGATGGATGATGGATGGATGGATGGATGGATGGATGGATGGATGATGGATGGATGGATGGATGGATGGACGGACGGACGGACAGATCATGATCTTGATGATCTGACTGCAGAGACTATGTTTTCAGGTGGACTTCTCACAAAAAAATATATTCAAGGTACTTTTTACCCACTGATCACAGTAAATATAGCAAAGCCGCTCTCTGGCATTGAACACAGCAGCATCAGGCGCATCTGGACACACTTTACTGGAGGCACTTCAGGAGCATTAAAGATGCTTTGGAAGTGCGTCTGACCTTAATGTGGACAACAAATAAAAATGAACCAGCAGACCCTTTTTCTGTTGAAATCGCATGCTGTGTAAACGTAGCATAAAACTTAAGAACTGACAAATCTCTCAATAATGTTACATATCAGAGTTATATTGGTTGATCTGAAATGACCTTGATTTTTGTCCTTTTAAATCACACACTTATTTTATTAGGTGTAACAGTTGAAAGAAGATTAGTTATTCTTGTTCTGAACAGAACCCCAAACACCAGATGACGGTTTCTTATGTTAAATCTGGTCTCTCCATCATAGTCTTGATTTAGTCCAAAAGTAGTTGTTGATAATTGGACTGTTTTGGTCAATCTGACTTTGTCCCAATTTAGACCAATAAAAGAAGTTACAAACCCGGTTTGTAATATCTTTTCAACAATCTGAAAGTTACAGCTTTTCACCTTAACGTAGATGTTTTTTGGACATAATTTATATTGTCTTTTCAATGTCTTTACAACCAAATTTTGCTTGTGGGGAGAGATTTTTAGTCCCTTGGGTCCTTTAATCGAGGCCTGAACCAGCAAAAGGAGACTTTTCTTCAGGACTCTGGAAATCTCCTTCCTGGGAAGGCTGAAGACCAAGTTAAACACCTAGATTGTTAAATCTGCATTAAAAGGTCTTGTGTTGATATTGATTTTAAAAACATTTATTTTCATTGTATTTTTGAAAGTGCTATTAATATACAGTAAGTATTAGGTACTTACTACAGACAAGCAAACTGTCTGAGCTTCATATGTCTGATTTGCTGAAGCATATGAAATTTCAGTGCATGGCTGCTAAGCAAATAAGGCAAAGGCTTTGTTGTTGTGTTTATTTATTATTTTTTTTTTATATTAACATTTTTATTGAGAGAGCACATTACAATACAACTACATACATATACTCGTTATATTCGTATTTTTACATGCTTTCTCTGTTTTCTAATTTTAACACGAGAAAAAAGAAAACCGAACACACACGCACACAAAAAAACAAAAAAACAACAACAAAAAAACAACTGGGAGTGGCGGGG